TTATCCTTCTCTGCATGACTTACCAGTGTTTTGCAATGCCTCTTTCCTTTTACTTTCATGCAAAAAGCTTTTAATAAGATTACATTGACTAGTCCTAATTACATGAATTTCATTTAAAGCAAATGCAGATATCACTTACTAATATGGCAGTTACTTGCTTAGTCATAAAACGTTGAAAACCAGTTGTCATAAGAAATCTGTCATCATTTCTAATGTTCAGATGAAAGCCGCTGAAACCAGGTGCAATTACTTATATCTACAATGATGTAATTCACTGAATTGTTTTTGCATATAATAAATCAGTGTAAAGATCTCTGAACAATAACAGAGATTATAGTAAGCCTCTAAAAGAGAACTAAAGTAAATTGATAGTTTGTTGCCCAAACAAGTACTGGAGAGAGAGGGAGTGAGTTCTGGAAGGGAGGATGGTGCTGGAATCGTCTCCACCACCTACATTTACTTTGAAGATGTTAAAAGTAGAGGTATTTCTGACTCTCTGTGTTTGCATTTGGAATGTTTAAGGCAGCAAATCTTTTGAGAAATGTAGAGGTCAGGGTTGTAGTATATTTTATTAAATGTTTTCCATGTCATCTGAATCATGTTGGTAGCTCTATTAGCCCCTGCAGTGTCTTGACAAGCAAAATGAGGATTTTTTCTTTTGTTTCGCTCTTCCTCCCCCTTCCCCTTCCTTGTGTATCTTGAGACAGAGAAAGTGTATTGACTTCAGAAGCATGGTTCAAATCTTACGTTCTGTCTCTTTGTGCTGAACTGTGATGTCTTAGGAGATACATATAATTTCCTCAATTAATTCATAAAATTGCGGGAGTTACTTCTAGGCAAGTCTAGTAATCAAGCCCAAGCCTATTGATAGAATGCCTAACTCCTTTGACAACGCCAATCTTTCTCAGATGGAAAGTGTCACATAAATGCCTCTGACGTTGCATCTAGGTGATAGGCTGCACTCACCTCTGAGTTACTGAAAGAACCTACAATTTCTGCTCCACAGCGATGTGTTGAGTTGCCAAACCCTTCAGTGGAGTGTCAAGAGTGAGTTTTCTTCTTTGTGGCTGGACCACGTGGTAGATTAACGTTTTAGTTGAAAAGATGGATGTTTATTGGGATGTAGAAGTTCAAGAGAGCAGTAAGTGTGAACTAGTAGTGTACACAGTTGCACAGTAGCATGAATTCAGTGGTACTGAACTAAGATTCCTCTTACAAACAAAACTTTTTCGTGTAGTGCGTCTAGTGAGTGACTAAATTTTGCCTTTTTGTACTCTTCAGGTGTAAACCTGACACACCAGCTTGTGTTAGTCTTTGCTTCACAGAGCTTAAGCTGTACCACTCCCTTTTGTAAACTAGAAGGCTTCCTGTAGCCTGCAGTTTCCCACAGTTGTTGCTAAAACAAGGGACCAGAAGTACTCAGCGTGGTAGTGGTACCTTAGGAGAGGTGGTGTCTCTGGTCCTTTGGCAACTGAAAATCTCCCTCGTGCTGTATCCCCTTGGTCTTCAGCTGTGCAGAAAGCCATATGTTTGCCTATTCTGTATTTTTCATTTTTCCTCCTTGAAACGAACTGATGCTTAACTGAAACTCTTAGGTTTGTGCTCTTTCCTCAGCTGCCCTTGGTGAATGGTGTATATATGTGACTGTTTAGTTATAAACTTAAATCAGGAGCTCATCCAAGATTATCAGCTTTAGTGAGAATTTAATGCTTAAGTTTTGTGGAGGTTAAAATTGTAATACTTCCTGGTCCAGTATGGCTGAGAGAACTAAATTTTACTTTCAGGACTAAGTGTGAGATATGAATAGAGAAAAAAAAGGTAAGAGAGATTTTATATAGAAGGAATTAATCCTATAGATGTTATTAAAGGCAGTAGTTCTATTTTAAAATTACAGCTCCATGCAGAATTTTGCATCTCTATTGAATATTTTCACTGCTCAATAAACCTTTTGAGAATGTGTTGGAATCTGAAGCATGTGCTTAACTGCTTTGCTGAATTGCGGCCTTCATTACCAAATTGCAGGTGTATGTTAGCTTAAGTATTTAAGGGGGGGGAAAGTAAAACAATGCTTATTTTGTTCTGTTCAATATGGTTTGTTACATTAATGGAAAACATCAGATATGCTGTGCTGTCCGAAACAAATTTAATATAGTTAGTGGCCTGAGTGTTTAGTATGAGGTAGACTCCAGTTAAGAATTAACATGATGTGAATTAAAATGAAAACTTAAAAAATGAAAGTGAGATTTTACATTTTTGTGAATAATTATTGTAGAATGAGGCTTCTAAATGTTTTCCTGTTTAAAAGTGTGTTTCAGTGATATTCTGGAAGTTCTTATGTGGATATTAGAGCATTTAATGTATGTGTGCAATAGCTAAGACTCTGTAAACATTTCCATAATAAACTTCTCTGTATACTAGGCCTTAATAACTTGGTCATAAAAACGTGTTTGGGGCATAAAAGTGGTGTACTGGTCTGCCAGAAAACTTATGCTTTAAAAATAAGTAAGATTCTTTTAAAGAAAGAGATTTAGAAGGATACTGAAGAAAATATATGCCATACCTAACTCATTCCTGATAACTATCTGATCAATATGTTCTTTAAGAAATTTAAAAACCCACTCGCTTAACTAGACAAGCTAGTTCAGTGCCAGGCTAAATTTTCTAGTATTCTTAAAAGTCTGAACTTTTGCTTTAAGCCTATTGCTACATAAAATGCTCATACATGTGATGTACATAAAGAATTAGTTCCCTATTTTTAGCTACCTCTCATAGGTTTGACTCCTTATTCTCATAGGTACCTCTCACCTGACTTCTTTTTTGCTAAGTGGACAAAAGGATTTGAGTGTTTCTTCATTAAAGGTGTTTTCTCAGTCTCTGATAACTATTTATTTCCTTCTGGAGAGCCTTCCCTTAATCTATGCATTCCCTAAAGGACAGTGGCCAAAGGTGGGCAGTTGCTCTTAGGCCTGTGGAGAAAGCAGGAGGATTATCTTTCTGGGTATTCTGAGGCTATTTCAGGCTTTGGTAGAAGTACCTATACAGGGGATAATGTATAGAAGCTGTTAATTAGAGCACTACTGAACAATTTCTTCGTTGTTTCTTTTGATGGCTCACTTGACAAGAAGAAAGTGTCACAGTAAACAGAAGAAGAAAATATGGTTAGAAGAGAAATGAATATTGATTTTTAACATACTTGTTAGCTATAAATCCATGTAACATTGTCTTCTATCAGGTTTGGTATGTGGGCCTGTAAAATAAGCTTTTCTCTAAGATAAGATATCTCTAAAAGGCTGCAGGTCTGTTAACAGTGAAATAATTATGTAAAATGTGACTTTGCCTCACTGACATTTTACTGAAAACCAAGGTGTCTGAGAGCTATTGATTCTTATTTTAGTTCCATATGAAAATTTTCAAAACAGAGATTTGTTTTATTTTCCTCATACTTTCTTCCATCTCACTTGGAGAACAAAGCTGAAGGATTGTCTGCATTTTTTTTACTGACTGTGCCCCTGCCCCAGTGATTTTCGTGACAGAGTAACTTCAATGTTACTTGTGGGATGTTTGTGCTCTGAAGCAAAACCACTCGTGCAGATGTACTTTCCATGCAAAAAGTAAATCAACTCTGTACAAAACACATCAGTGTAGTAGGGTTTGTATTAACTGTGGTACTACCTGTGTGGGGTCAGCAGTCCAGAACAGCTCCGGCACACTGAAGTCCTGTGGTACCCATCACAAATGTGGGCCTGTAACACACTACAGGACTTGTACACTAGAGGGCTTTTTTTCCTTTTCTCCACCAACGTAAAATTAGCTTAGGGCTATGTTGTGCTCAGTGAGACCACCAGGTCTTTGTGAGACATTCCCTTATTTATAAATATTTGACTACGATGAGAAATCAGAGAGAGAAGCAGTGAAGTGGGGTACCTTCTGGCTTACTATAAATGCTACGAAGTCTTTTTTTTACTTGGCAATACTGTGGAGGAGTTGAGGACTACTTCTCTTAGCAATGTGTCTTCCAATGAAGACAAATGCCACAGGTCTAGATTCAGTAGGTGCTTGTTTGCATGTTTGTTAGCTTTGAGATTCTTTAGGAAAAGTTCAATTTGACTTTTTTTGACCTTATGTATGGGTCAAAGTTCAATTTGATTTTTTTTTTTAATCATATATGGATATTAATATAATTTGCAGGTAATTGGGACATTTAGGCTATGGTCTGGAGTAACAATATATAAATTTAGTAGAAAGTTTTGATGTTGACAAGGTTGTGGTTTCAAATCAGTTGAATTTCGTGTAATACTGTGTGTGTCTGGCATTTTACAGTGAAGTTCAAAATGGATGTTGTGCACTGTGAAAGACATAGACTTTTTAGTAGGTATAAATCTTCATATTTTCATCTAAGGTGGTATCCTTGAGTGGATACGTAGGCATGAGGATAAATATCCTACAGTTTTATTTTTCTCCTTGCTGGGTATAAACTGAAATCCATCAATGATATTTCCCGTAATAAGGTGTGTGAAAACAAAGGAGAGACATAGTCCCTTGAAAATAAGAGTAAGAGAGAAATAAAATTGAAAACAACTAAGCAGGGTAAGCAATATTTGCATTTTTAACTATTGTAAATTGAGGCATAATTTCCAGGTGAAGTGGAAATTTTCAGGTGAAATGTGGAGTGAATCTGCAGAAATAAAATGTGAGTCCCAATTTCTTGAATGCCTGTCTTAGATTTCATCTGTGTCATCAAGAAAGGAATTAACTTCTAGCAATGAAGTAGTTGAATGAAATCTGAAAAAAAAATTTACATACTTTTTTTTTTCCTACGTGTTTTTCATTTATTACCTAGTACTGTAACAGTGCTGAAGATTTCAGACGTGTTCCACAGATGACAGCTTAACCTATTTGTATTTACCAAACATAAAATGTTGCCATTTTGTTATCTAGTGCTGTTCCACAGTCACTGGAAGGATAACCAAGCAACTGTTGTTTTTCTGTTGTCTTCAAAGGGACGTCAGAGATGGCTTCAGAAGAAAAAGCTTCTATCCTTCTCATTATATGAGGGAGCGATCCCCTCATAAGAGGGACTCTCCTTTCTTCAGGGAATCGCCGGCGAGCCGAAGGGATTCTCCACACAGCAGATCTGGCTCCAGTGTCAGCAGCAGGAGCTACTCTCCTGAAAGAAGCAAAGCCTATCCTTTTCACCAGTCTCAGCATAGCAGAAGTATGTCATCTTTACATAAAAGAAATATTTCTTCTCAGCAAGGTAATGCTGGATTAATGACGAGAGCTGGTTAGCGAGGTGAAACTGCAACTCGCTGTATAAGCCCTTTTGCTTTATGTGCTGTCTTTTACAATGAGAGAACTAGACATTTTGTACCAATTATGTGTTGTCTGCTCCTTGATTGTTCCACTGTACTCGCTGTTCCCTTCTGTATTTCATGTGGGAGGTTGTAGGTGTTCTTTCAGTAGCAACTCTAGACTGACTGTAGTGCAGTCTGAGTCCCAGCTGCACAGCCTTTTCTGGTATTGTATGTTATTTTCCTTTTGGCATCGACTGCTTCTCTTACTTCTTTATGTGCTTCACTGGATTCCCTTACAAGAAACTTTGCTGTCGTTTGTAGCAAGTGAAGGCTTTTCTTCCTGCAACCAGGCAAAAAGAGGAATTAAAAAAATTGGAGAAATTAAAGTACATACTACTACTTGTTACATTTTCTAAAACTGTATTATTAGGCTTTGGAAGTTGGTTAATTTTGGTAATTTCATCTCATCATCAGATTCTCTCAAATCTTGCTTTTCTCAAAGAAATGCAAAACATATCTCAGTTAACTCTGTACCATGTGTGCTCTGCCTTTGAAAAGCTTGGCTGTTAAATTTTCCCAGAAATCTAATGAATCATCTGTTTTCAAAATATTTAAGGTTTTCTTATTTAAATAATTTGGGGGGAAAAAAGGCAAAATTGCTGGGTTTTGTATACTACAGTCTTAGCCACTGCTGTTTTTACAGCTTATGTAAATTGATTTGATTTGATTTCCTTTTCTTCAAATGCTTTGTAATGAACTACACAAACCTACTGTTCGTTTTGGCAGCTATTAAATTAATTAGTTGGGGTTTTTTATTCATTGATAGGCATATTGTGTGTTTCCAGAGTGGCACACTGGACCATTATGTAGCACTTGTTGCCAAAAAGGATCTTGTGGAATTTAGTTAACATCATTTAAATACTGAGGAATCATTTCACTCCTTGCAGAATATGAATTATCTTTCTGGCTCATCATTGCAATTCTTTTAATGCTGTGTATCAATACACAGTGAACACACGTGGATTCTTCTAAGTGTAGGAGAGAAAGAGAAAAATCTGTGCAAGTGTTGTAAATGTGCAGCTCGTAGTTACCAGAAACAGGAAGAGATTGTTGTGGGAAACGATATAAAATTTTGGAATGTTTCTGCTGTTTCCTAACATTTTGAGCTGACTTCCATCATTTTTGTAGTATATTGGCAGAATTACTTCAACAGGAGTGGATGTAGCAAGGTAGAAGCAGACATCTTCACAAACGCTAGGTGAGAGAGGAGGTTGCCTTTAGGTCTGTGGCTTTCGGATTTTTTTTCCCAGTTGCGTGGTCAAACACCTCTTCTCCATCATCTTTAAATCGGTTGCAAGAGACCAGATGGTTTGTATACTGGACTATTTCTTTGTAACTCTTTGTGCCCTGAAAAATAGCACTACTAAACCGTTCCTCTAAATGACTTAATTAAAATGGCCTATTTGCAAGGTATAAATGGCTTAAATAATACTTCTAGAATCATATTTGAATATGATTTATCTTAGGTAAGCTCATTTATTACATATTTTAAGAGAACGTAAAGTGACACGTTTCATATGTCAATGGTATATTTTAATTTGTACTTAAATGGATTTCCAACTATACAATATACAACCATACAACAATATATACTATTTCATGCAGAATTTATAATATGATATCTTTTTAAATAGCATGATAATTTTTAAAATCATGCCATCTGATTCAGTTTGGCCTCATGAATTCCACTGAAGGAGACCTATCCCATGCTCTTGAACCATCCATAAATTAGGAAAAATACAGGGTTTGAAAAGAGAAAACTGGAAGGACATAAATAAGGTTGGTAGAGGGAAGGAAAGGGCTGATGGGAAAGGACATGCATGCAGCTGTGGTAGGAGAGCACGGAGAGAAGCAGAGTGACATTCCTTCACCGGGCTGGTCAGTGAGCTGTCTGTAGAGCGGTACGCTGAGGAGATGCAAGAAGGCAAGTAGTGGTGCTTTGAAAGTGTCTCATTCAGTTTGTACAGGTGGGGCTCGTGGGTTCTAGATAGTCACATGCATCCAGAAAAAAAGGCCTAATAATGTCTCCAAATTAAACGGTGGTTTCTGTCACTGCTTAACTTTGAATAATTTGCTGCCACTTGTATCGTCTTACTTCATCTCTTCAAGCACAAATTTATAATCCACTCGGAGTAAATAATCTTTGAAAATAATCTCTGAAGGTTATCTCTTTGATGAAGGAGACGTGTAAGAGGCAGAGTGCAAGTAGGCTGAATTTAAAATGATGTGGCTCATCCATGGGGCTGAAAACCAGGTATCACAGGAGGAAAAATTCTGTGTTACTTTGTGATATCAAGGGAGATGACATTCTGTGCTTTGGAGAGTGTGATGGATTAAAGACACAGTTATTTCTATCTTTACAGTTTTGGGTTTGTCATATGGTTTGTATTTATAGAAACTTTTAATTTTCCACAGTTTTTGAGTTTGCTATTTGTTTCCATCATGCAGGAGCTTTTTTTTTAGTTAAAAGTAGCTCATAATTCATCCTTTGTTTTATGGCTACTAGAAATTCTCAAATAAGGCTGCTTGCTATGTTTTTAAGTATGCTTTCTGTTCAAATTGAGAGTTAAAGTGCTATTTAAAGCATTTGCTTTTGCCAGAATAAATTCCTCAGCTGTTTCCAGTAGCATTTTAGAAAGACCCATCAGAAGCTGTGAAGATTTTTACATGGATCAGTAGGCCTTCAACATCACTGCAGTAACTCGCTTGCCTGTAACAGTGTGCAGAGATGACCGCTTATTTCATCTTTGCTTTGTGTTAAGTCTACACCACCTATGGTATCAAAACAAGGGGAAGAGTAGAAAACCAGCTTTTCAAATACCTCTTAGACACTTCCTAATTTTTATGTGCTTTTTACATAGACTTTTCCTTATATTTTTTTTTTTTAGGTTGTGGTATTTTAAAATATACAATGTGGTCTTATTTTATGGCATCAAGTAAAAAAGAAACGAAAATAGGTCGGCTGTTAGGAGATGCCATATTTGTTCTTTATTGCTTTGACTCATTTAATTAGAACCATATTTGTTTGTAGTTCTGCTAAAATAATTTACATCCATGTTTTCGTAATTATTTGATAGACTTTAATTAATCTTTCTTAATTGTATTGATAAGAATTTAATGGAAGCCAAGGTAAGTCTACATTGTTTTCCATTTGTGAGCAGTCAGCCATAGCCCAGTGAGTGCGAATAGCGTAGTTAATTTAGGCTTACTGACAACAAATTTGCTTTTCCTATTTGCATTTTGCAGATTCCTCAGATGCAATCTAAGAGAAAACTAGTGGTTTACACTCCAGCCAGTTCTGCTGCTGCAGTCTGCCTGTGGCAAGGCTGTGCACAAACTGTGACTAGCGCGGTGAATTTGAATTGTCACTTTGCCCATTTTTCACTCTTTGAAGAAAAACACTGATAAAACAAAGAGCATCTAGCCTGTGGTTGATACAATACAGGCCTGTTTTCCATACTGGAACTTTTCAACATACTGTGGCCTGCTAAACCAGTTCTTTCACTGCCTGGTTTCCTGGAGTGATTGACTGGTGTCTAATATTTCACCCGTTTATATTATTACAGGAATACTAAAAAGTAAAATCATATCATCTTGCCAAATCATGTTGATATACCCTTTCAGTTAATGTTGAAAAAAAGGACAGTAAGTGTTCCTAAATATGTGAAATAATATAGCTGTATCTCTTCTCTCCTTTTGAAAAGAAATTGTTATCAATACTTATCAAATGATGGACCATGTAGATTTCATGTCTGACTTGAGTGGATTTCACTGCAATTTTCCTAAGCCAGTAAGTATATTTGCAATATATATCTTTAATATAATTTTGTGATTGCTATTTTTTTCTTAATTGTAGGTAAAGAAAGGACATCAGCTCAGTCACTGAAAACATCAAGAGATGCATCACCTTCAGGCTCCACAGCAGTACCATCATCAAAGGTCAATTTTATTTTTGAGTACTTCTTGCCGTGGTTTCAGATTGCTCACTGTTGTTGGATTTCTTTCCTTATTTGGGAGGAGATACTGTTTGCAGCTGTTAAAGGAAGGAGCATCTTGAATTGCTGTGCAACCCAGCAGAGGATAGGTTTCCCTTATCTGGCAGGAAGGTGCTGATAGTGGTGTGTACCTAATGACGACACCGACAAACCTTTTCATTCTGTATTCACTGTCTCGATTTAAGAGAAAGGGAGTTTTGTATGTATTTAAAATTGTCTGAAGTGTGCTAGAAAAGGAATGGCAAGGAGAAAAATGTGGAGGCAGGTTTTAGGAACAACAGATCAATTGGACAAGCCTGTACTTGCACTGAACTCCATCCTTCATTGATTCCTAAGCTGTAACTGGATTTGGAAACTGTGTGGTGAAGCGTCTGACTGACCGGGAAGATAACATGAATAGCAGAGTTGACTTGAGAGCAAGGGTGCTTGGAGATGTGGTGAGAATGGGAAGGGAGCCACATTGCGATATAGTTAGATAAATGTCGGTTTACATTCTGAATTATGCTGTTTAATTTCTTGTCAAATCTTGAGGACTGAGCACCAACTACATAACTGGACAGGCTAATAAACACTAATGAACAATCAGCATTCAATATTGTTCTGGCACTCCTGTGGCAGCAAAAACCTTTTCATACCACGCACTGCTTGCCTGTAAATTATATTTGATGTTAAAATGAACACTTCCAGAGGAGTATTTTCTCGAAATTGTTGAGAAGTACTTTAATGAGAAATAAAGGAACAGAGCATTATATTGTTCTAAATGAATAAGGTCCTATTAAAGTGTAAAATTCACCTTAAGTAGCATGATCCACTAGCCTGGTTCTTGAGATCTTTTTAATAAAAGCAGTGGAATGCTTAAACAACAAGAAAAAAGGCAAGAAAGAAAGGTACTGTTTGTTGTAAGAAGGTGAGACTGAAGAAAATAATTGAGTGGGGAAAAAGTCAGGCTTTGGTTGTTCTGTGTCATTCTAAGTATACTTGTCCCTTATGCACCTCTTTTGGATCTGCTGTGCTGGGTGTTAACTAATTTCCAATGTCCTTAAAGGAGGGAGGCAAACAATGTATTTTCAGTGATGCAAATAGGGAAAGTAAGAAAAAAGCTGTTACATGCAAGTTACACTGGATTATAAAATAAACTTCATAATTAGTTAACCTATTTTCCTTAAGGACGCAGCATACTACAGCTTCATACCAAGTCCTTGCTTAATACAAACCTTTGAGAACAAGGAGGCATTGCAAAATCTCTTGCTCTTGTATTAGTGTGCAGTGTGAGCTTGAGCTATAAAGTATTCTGTAAGTGTTTTGCTTTCTTCTTCAGTCAAGTCTGATCTATGTTGTATTGTTGGGGGTTTTTTTGCCAGCAGTTTGCATATATCTGCTGGCAGTGGATATCCACTTGATGTAAGCTACACAAAATAAAACCTTCTGTTTGAGGGAAATCGTTTCCCCAGACAACACAAATATTTATTTGGGTTTGTATCAGCTACAGAATTGGAGGTACTTCAGTGACCTTTTATTGCTTTTCTCTTGAAGCCCCAAAATCTGCTTGTAATTTACTGTCCTGTGCCAGTGGAGCCTTCTGGGGTGGTGACTGGATTACACTGACCAAGCTGTCCAAGTACTTCACTGACATAGAAATACCAAGACAAAAAGTCTTGGCACAACATGACGAATATCTCCAGGGCCAGGGTCTTACTGTCTACTTCTACTTGATAAATGAGTTATATAGTCTGTTTTATAGATTAAAAGAGATAGTTTTCAATGCTCTTAAGTTATAATTCAGCTTTGAAATACTTACAAAGGTATATGCTTCCACAGCAATATCTCTTTTCACTGCAGTAACTGTATGCAAATCTGAAAAGATATTTTTGCCTGTCTTATAATTAATTTTCTACATACTCCTGCATATGAAATAATACACGTTGGTGTTATCTGATCATAACCACCTGTTTAATTGACTACGCTGTGAAATCTTTTGTGTTTTTCTTTAATAGCTGTCTGGACTGCAAACCTTGGAGGCTGTATCCAACCTAATTAGAGCAAAAGGCAGATGTGTGAGGCAGGGAAAGCTTCCCGGCAAAGATAGCCTAAGACTGATAGGTTTTTGTTGTTCGTATGTTATGGACAGGGTAAAACCAAGAAAAAAATAACCAAACCACTCTGTTTTGAGGCAGGGAGAGAAGTTTCGTTGCTTTTTATGAGATACACGAGGCTAATAATTTCTTGGAAGCGTACAGCCTAAGTTGTTGCAGAAATTTTTCTGAGAAATATGTTTCTGTTCTTTCTCTTCTGCTGTAGCGTGTCTGTGGAAATACCGTTATGTATTTCATAAAATGCACTCAGGATTATTTTTAATACATATTTATTGACATGTGACTTATATAATTAAATATAATGAGATTAAATTAAACAGATTTTTACTATATTCCAGTAGATACAGAGTGATCAGTTTCTGTTTATGACTTGTAGAAATATTGTAGGTCATATGAGATTTAATTTATCTTCGTTTCATGCAAAGCTGTCTGTCCGTGACAAAGATACATGTCTTTTCTTATTGTTACTGTCCAGAGCTGCATTAAACAAAAGGGAGAGAACTAGAGTACAAGATTTTGGCAGCTAGGAGAAAGTCAGGTTAAAGGTATATTATGGGGAATAAGGACCTCACAGGGGGAAAAGAATTGACAGTAGGTGGTTGGTAGTGAGACTAATGTAAGAATAATCCTGCAGTTTGAAAAGGTGAGCTGGGCTTAATTATTATATGATTTATATTACCTTTTCCTTTGAGGAACCCTCTTTGTGCCCCTGCGTATTGAAGTTCATCACCTCCTGACTTCCCTGGTTGTAATTCTGTTAATTTACAGTTATAGAAAGGAGAGACTCTTATTTGAAGATTATGTTGTGCTTCTCTGGACCCTTATTACAGGTCACAGTATTTGCTTCCACTGGCTGTATGTAATTTAGGATGAACTAATGATAAAAGGAGGAGTGTTGCTTTTTTTCCTTTGAGGAACCCTCTTTGTGCCCCTGCGTATTGAAGTTCATCACCTCCTGACTTCCCTGGTTGTAATTCTGTTAATTTACAGTTATAGAAAGGAGAGACTCTTATTTGAAGATTGTGTTGTGCTTCTCTGGATTCAGATAAAGGTGGTGTCCTTATGACCTGGAAGGGTTCTGTTAGTCGTGTGCTTATGCCAGCCTACAGCATGAAGAGCATTTGGGTAATATTTTACTTGAAGTAAGCACAAAAGGTCCGAAGATGAAACACCCTTATTACAGGTCACAGTATTTGCTTCCACTGGCTGTATGTAATTTAGGATGAACTAATGATAAAAGGAGGAGTGTTGCTTTTTCTTTTTTTTCTTTTTTTTTTTCTCCACCCATTTGCTGAGGTGGAGCAGGCACTGAGTACAAATTGTGACAACCTTTTTCACACGGTAGGATTTTTCTAATTTTTTTTTTTTTTTTAGATATCCAAATTACTGTTGCAGTTTTTAGTACAAGAGTTGTATAGATTCTTGGATGGATGCCTCTGTACATACAGTTGATTCAACTAAAATACCCACGCAGTGGTAACAAGATTTATAAAACTAGCTGTTCCTAAACTAGTTTTGGTATGTCTTGAAAATATTTTAAAAAAACTATTTATATGAGTATTTTCATCTGAAAAGGTAAATTAAAAGACTATAAAGCCATGACTGACTCTGTTATAAATGATCAATGTTTCCTCCAAATAAAAAATAATGAATTTTCATGGAAGCAGATCTGATCATTTAAAGTATGTATAAAATACTTTTTGTCCCTAATTAGGTTAGATTTTATACACTACATGCTGTTTAATAGTTTAGTTTAAATTAGTTACATCCTTTTATGCCTGAAAATAACATTGAATTATTAGATCTGACTTCTTGGTCCCTGTTTATTTCATGTCTCTCTAAACTCAACTGGTCTGAAATAATTTTTTTATTATCTCTGTCCCATGAAATTAATAAAGCTAATTCTGAAAGTATGATACTTTTTTTAATTTCTTACCAGATTTCACTGATTTTTTTTTTCTCCTTTCTTTTTTTTTTTTCTCTACTCTCTCCTCACCCACTCTTCTTTTTAAAGAAATCAGTCAGCAAATGAAATAGCTTCAGCTTCCATATTTGCTATTTTAAAATGTTTTGGAGATTTATTTTAGTTTTGAAGATGTTTTACCATGGGTAAATATGTTTCATGTTAAACCTTGACCGTAACTTTTTTGTACAGGCTTTGGATAAGGGCACCAGACTATCGGAAAAGGAACTTGCAGAAGCCGCAAGCAAGTGGGCAGCTGAAAAGGCGGAGAAGGCTGATGAAAACAATTTACCTGAAATAACGGAGTATGATGTAAGACAGGATTATTAATCAGTTTATTTTAAACTATTACAACAATAGACTTGTTTTTCTGTACTCTCCTGAAAGGCACATTTTCTAACTTAATCCTGAATTCAGTGCTATTAAATGTTTGTTAAAAGGGAGTGAGAAGGAGAGTAAAGCCTTGTGATTTATTTATTTATTTATTTTTAAATACACAAAACGAAATAGGTTTTGTTAGTTAGTATAATTTGAACTCGCATTCAGCTACAACTGACAAAATAAGGCTCCAGCTCTCCAAGGGGTCCTCCAGGGAACTCTTGCACTAGTGTATGTGTGTTTGCTGAACTCCTTAAAATTAACAAGGGACTTCTGAGTCAAAATAGGAGTGTCCGGGTTAAAACATAAGACTTGAAGAGAAACTCTTGTTTATTGAGTTCAGTTCAACACTGTGTCAGCCTGCCATGTCCTGTATGCTTTTTCAGAAAGCAGTCCTCTTCTATATTAAAAATTAAGTTTTTGCCTTGCTTTTTTTCTCCCCACAACCTTTATTTCATTAATAATCAACATTAATTAATTGTTGATTTACACCCACCTCTTCTTGCCCCTCCTTGTCTTCTATCGTTTGCTATACTGAAGTGTGTATATAGCCCTTTTCAGTCTTTTATTATGCTGCTCTTGGATAGAATGTCTTCTTTTGCATTCTGCTATGTTAGTAGAAGATGTTTTTGTCATTTAAAACAAACCAAATGTTATGTAATGCCTTGTTGTCGAATAGTCTGGTTTAATTCTGTGATCATTTCATCTTTAACCTTCACTTTGCTTCAATGTTAGAGGCAGTCTTAGAAAACCAAAATAGTACTTAGTTTTCAAAGTAATGTATCTCAAACTTTATGATTAATGGATTTGTATTTTGTACTTGTTTGTAAATAATACAACTTTTAAATTTTTTCATAGTGCTTAATAGCTGGGCTTTGTGCTGCACTGAATTTTTTAGCAGCCTTTACTCACTCTCAGGCATTTGATGATTTATTGCAATAAGAAAATTTGGGATACAATCCTCATGGTTTATATTGCTACAAAGTTTTGAGCAGATGCTCATAAGATCACTCAAGCTTTTTTTTTTATTTTTGTCTAATGCTTTTCACTTTCACGTTAGTTAAGACTTAAGATTCTCTACCTCTTTGTTCTCGAATAGTAGAAAATATTTTTTATGCATCTTTTTCAGTTCTCAAATCTAATTTTTTAAAAAACTTGTTTTACTACTCTACTAGTCTATTCCATAATACTGAATTTAAATATCCTGTAGTAATTTCTTCTCTTTTACATCTTACAGATAAATTCCTTCAAGTGGGAGTCTGTTTGCTTTGGGGCAGGGATACCGTCTTAATTTCTCTTTTAGAGGGAAGCTTATACAATTTTGATACTTCAGTAAGATTTCTCATATTATCAGGAATTCTCTAAGCGTGTGTTTGCTTTTGCTATACAGTAGGCATCTATGTTCCTTTAATAATTAACCTGTGGTCCTGAATGCTGCAAAAGTTCTTTCTGACAGCGTTTTGATCTTGTCGATGTCGATTTACCTTGGATCTTGTGACCGTTATCTCTCCCAGAAAGCTAATCCCACTTTCATTGCAAATTTTTCTTGCTAGCTCGTGTTAGAAATATCACGTGCACAAGATTCTTTTCAGCAGAAGGGCAGGTAAAGGTTATCTGACATCATTGTCTTTACACAGTTAAGACTTGAGTCACGTTTTTTTAATGATGTCACATTTTTCATGTGTTTAAAATAATTTTTTTTGTTAGATTGTAGCAATAATGCTTTACTAGTATTCTTGGTAAGCAAACTCCTGTCTAACTGAATGACTGTATTTGGGTTTCTGGTTTTGCTCTCACACTTTGAGGTTTTTGTTTTGCTTTCAAAACCTAATTTGACTGGTTTTTTTTAAGGCTGGATCTTCAGCTCCATTATACGTCGAACAAACAGAGGAAGCAGAAACAAATCTAATGGATAGTACGGAATTATATGAAGATGGCCAACTTCTTGGTCGCTCAAAAGCAATTGCAACTAAGACAAAGGAGATTGAACAGGTGAGTACTTGTGGCATTTTGTCGCTTATACGGTGCGTGTGTAATGCTTTGATCTGCTAGAAATACATCGATTTATTTTTTCCTCCTTGGAGCATAATGTGAATGTAATCTTGAGATGATGTGATGATAACAACTCTATCTATTTAATTCTTAAGGAGCATGACATTTATGGAAAATTAATGGTGTTTTTCTGTAGCTTGCATGCAACACCTGCTATTTTGCAAGCTGAGAAAATGACAGCTCCTTTGAATAATTGTTTTAAAATCAACTAGAATACAAATAATTTCAAATGTAATAAAAAGTAAGGCTTTATGTGAGATCACATTATCAGAAGTTACTTTTATGCTTTAATTTCCTTAAATATATACACTTTGGAACTGAACACTAGAAGCTGCCTTCTGGTTGTGTTTTTGTTTTCTTTGGGTTTTTTATTTTCAGTTATGGGTTTTTTTTTGTTGTTGCATTTTTTGTTGTGTTGAGTCTTTGTGGGTTTTTTTTTTTGGAAAAAAAAAATCAACTTTGCATCTCAGTGCCTTAAGAACCTTTAAGTTTTACTTTGACTACAGTGTTTTATATTTAGAAGAAGGAGGGATATTGTGTTTAAAATTTGTATTCTTTTTTTTTGTGGACTGTTTGGAGATTGATGTAATACAAACCAAGATTTCCATAACTGTTGTAACACTGAGTTTTTGAGGAGGTTCAGTGGACATCTGTTTATGTATTAGTCTTTAATATCATGTCACCTAACAGTAAGAAAATTATCTGCAATAACCTTCAGTTTCATTTGGCATTAACTATCAGAGTGTTACTTCTGTATTTGTGTTACTCTAAATGGAGATATAGGAGATTTTTCTGACTTGATTGTTCTGACATAAACACAACTACATCCAACTCTGGAAGTTACATTTAAAGTTTATAATTTGGGTGGGAGAGTTCTTCAAACTTGCTCCAATTTACAGTGTTTTCAGTGTATGCATGGGACAGACGGAAGGGAAATCCATATAATGTTTCTGCATCATGAGTATCTCTTAGTAATGTCTTCAAGAAAACAGATCTTTGGTCTTGTTTGAGATAAGTTTATTCTAGGTCTTTTGTATTCCATCTTAATTCTAGCAAGCTTTGCTCTGTGACCTCTGAGCCCTTTTCCTCTGCCGTGACACTGCTATTCCTTTTTTTCTTAACACTTGAAAAGCAACTTGTTGCTCTATTGGTTTTGTTTCTTTAATGTTGGCCTTGCCTAATGATGGTTCTGGTGAGAATGACTTTACCCCGTGTGTTGCGTCTGGCAGGGACATAGTCAACCGGAACATTCCGTGGAGCAGTTTGTTTATTCCTGTGTGTCTGATCACAAGGCTGGATGTGGCCATAAATCAGCCACTACCAAGTGCATAACGTTGCATTTAAATTGAATATTTAAAAATGACAAACTGAAAAAAAAATATTAGGACCAGATTTTTTAAAAATAACAGTTGTGATTATTTAGCTTGGTGCTAGTGAATCTGTGACTGATTTATTTTCTGTAGGACTTAAGTGTAAACTTCCAGTGAAAATAGATAAAAATTTGGGTATAAAACCCAAATATTATTTCCAATATTGTTTAATGTTATTATGTTTGATAAAGTTTCCACTTGTCTCCAAGAAAATCTAAATTATATTCTGTAAGGCAGAATACTTCTAGGACGTTAGCTCAGAAAAGCCTGAGGAATAACTTAAAAAGATTTGGATTTCATAGAACAAGTTTGTCCTGTTCTTGATTTGAATATTGAAGTTGTCAGCTTCCGCAAAATTAAAATAAGATTTTAGAATGATACTGGAAGCATCTTTGGTACATTTTGTTCAGCTGAACAAAATTCATAATTTTTTTGCAAAGTCAGGTACTGTGAATTTGTTGAGAGCTAGTGTTTATATGTATTTAATCGTTTAAGCTTGACTGTGAAATGATCTGTATGTGTTTTAGGTAGCGCTTTGTAAGTAACTTCTGGTTCAACAAGTGAAAGAAATCCAGAACATTGATTGTTAGGACGGTCCTGATGACTGTGACCCTTCCTACTCTATATGGAAGCAGTCTCTCTGTACAAATGTATACTGTTCCATTGACTTTGAGTTGTCAGGATCTAAAAGTAAATTTGGTTTAATTTTGTGTGAACTGAGATCTCTGGCTTTGACAAGAAATGAAGAAAGGGAGCAAAGAGTGGAACAGAAACTGATTTTGCTTACTAAAGGTTCTTTAGATGAACTTCTCATTATATTTTTTACTTGTTTTGCTACTGTTTATCTGAAAGTATGTTTCTGGGTTTTGCACAGTAAAATCAGTCCTTAACATGCCAATTTAATGTTATCACTATTCATGCCGTATTGTTTATATAGATGTGATATTTAAATAATAAAATTTAACTGTAGGTGATAATACACTTTAGGAATTAGACTGACTTGATAATGAAATATAATCAAATAACAGCAAAAAACTTTTTGTTCTACGGACTTCTTTCCAGTTCAGTTTCATTCAGGTGTTCAAAATAGCTTCTGAATACCTAGTTTTAACGTATTATTTCAGGAGCGTGTTTTTTTTCTGCAAGGGTTACTATAATAAAATACTTATTGCAAAGACTATGCTGGAAAAATGATGAAGGTGTAATCCTGCACAGTGAGATTCCTGAAAGATTGGCTTTCAGTCTTCACTAGGTAGCTATTAAAGTCTTGTCGATAAGTAGATAAATAATCAAACAGGATAGAAATAACTTGTGCCAGTAGATGCCTGCCTAAGAATTGTTGAGGGTCGATCTAGTGTCTGAAAAAGTGAGTCTTGATTAGGCTTGACCCATCAGATATCTGTTGATTCTGTCTCCCAAGTATTTCTTTCTCCTGGAGCACCACATCTAAGTGATGGTTGCTTTTCAGTTCATATTTATTCTCTTTCCGAATCCCAGGTATTGATGCTGTTCCAAACTCCCGACAGAGCTCTTTTTGCTTTGTCCTCTCCATACCTGTCAGTTTCCAAAGCTCCAACCAGGAAGAAGACCAAAATTTTCCAAATATGTATTTTTACTTCATAGTATGATAATGTTTTAGGCAAACCCAGAGGCAAAAAACTGCGCTGACAGAACACGTTTGGTGTTGCAATGAGCAAATTCATTGCAGAACAGCAGAGAAACGGGCAGCCTGATGCCCTGGACGGGAGTGGGGGTGTCAGCTTGTGATAGAGTCTGTTATTTCTCTTAAGAAAAAACAACAAAAAAAATCCCCTAAGCAATTGAATTAAATATTCATACAGGTGTTCTGTTTTAATAAGGCCGTCTCCATATCTTACATATTGCTTATATCATTTTTTGGTAAAGTTACCTCTATCTTTCCTCTTGGTTATGGTTACACAATTGCCAAATTCAGAATTTTAAATGGAATGTGATTGTAAGTGGTTGCTCCAACTCATCAACAACATAATGGTCTATTATTTGTCTTATGGGGGACTTACTGTAAGCTTTCATGTAAAATCATATAGTTTGAAGAAAAATGAAGTTCTTTCTGTGCTATGATGACAGGATAAAAATTGTCAAAAAGTGCTAGTTGCTGTTTGTTATTTAGTGACTGTCTTCCAAGAGTCTGCAGTTGCTTTGCAATTATTAACTCAAGGTGACTAAGAGGAGAGCAGAGTTGCACTCATAGATAAAGGCTCGGAAAAATCTGGACAGCGTTTGAACAGAGCCAAGAGTCATCTGTGTGATTCTCAAACTAGAAAAACTCCAAAACGTGTTTAATTTGAAGCTTGGCAATATCACTTAGAAAGGAAGAACATGTTTGAAGATGCACAGGAACTTGAGAACGTTGCTCAACTGTGACGGCAGATCCTGGAAGTCTCTGTTCTCATCTTTGGAATGGCAAACATAGTATCATGGAAATGTCCAGGTTGGATGGGACCTCACCTGGGCCAATCTTATCTTGAAATGGGGCCTTAATTCAGATCATTCAGGGCTTTAAGTTCAGTCCTGAATATTTCCAGTGAGGGAGACTCCATGATTCTCTGGACAACTTATATTAATGTTTCACTTCTCTCTCTCTGAGCTCAGCTGCTCTTACAGTCGCACATTCTGCTCTCCAGAGCTTGCTGGATTTCCACCAGGGACAGGGTTTCTGCTCCCTGCTCCTCTTGGTGTTTTTCTGTCCCCATCAGTGGAGTCCCAGCTCCTTGCTGTGGCTCCCCGCTTTTTGCTGCCCTAACTTGCATATCGGGACCTGCTCTGCCTGGAGAGGGCTCAGCTGATCTTGAGGGAGGGTGGGCTTCCCAGGACCCTCTGGTTCTGCCATGGTGTCGTTGGTAGAACAGGATCTTCCTTGGCACTTCCGCAAAGCAAATACCAGGAAAACTGATCCCTTCCATCCCGGCCCATCTTTTCTTCCACCTTCGTGCCTCTTTGTGCTGAATGGAAATTCTGTGGTGTTAATGTGTGTCTCAATATATTCTGTGAAGTAAGGTCTAGATCTGTGATATGGCTTTTGATGTTCTATTTGTAAGCAATCGGAAACTTTGGTAAGTTTTAAAAACAAGAACAGCAAGGTCGTTAGCTTTCTGGGTTGGGTTGTTTTGGTTTTCGGTTTTCTTTGTTTGCCCCGGAGGTGGCTGGGGGGTTTTATATGCTTTTTTTGTTGTTTTTTCTTAATGCTATATGTTTCCTTATGCCTTTTAACATGCCTTTTCCTCTTTCCTCCACAATTATAATTTTGAAATTTGGTGTTTTATGTTGCCTGAGCACAGTGAGGTAGAAGCTCATTAAATAGATGTTTAAAAGATTGGTCTGAGTACCTAAAAACAGGGTAGCAGAGAATTTTTGGTTGGCATGTCCAGGTCAATGAATGCCCATGGGTTGCCGCTGTAACAATTTCATGCACTTTCAAAGATTTTTGCATTTAATAACATGCAATATCCATTAGGGTGTTGTTTTGGAATTATTTGGTTTCTGTTTATATATAGTTAAGGATCAGCTTATACTTTAACACATAATGTGCTG